AAAATCATTTCATAGTTGCAACTCAGCACTGAGGGCGATAACATAGTTCATAAGGGGCACGAGAATGTAGCGATTATGCGCCAATCGAATATAAAGGGAAAAAGCTAATTTAGTTTTAGTACCCAGCACATGTTTGCACAGGTATTTTTATTTGTTTAAAATGCTCTCGACTCGAGTTGATAGGAATCTTTCACCCATGGTTTGCGTGTAGTCACTGACTGTAAACACTAATTTTAAACCAAAAATACTCGAAGGGGCATTCGGAAGTGGGCTTACTCGGAAAATGTAGGTCTTACACTTTTCCGCCAAAGCTGATGGCTATTTCCAAGATCGAGTACCTTCTATAGTGCGATTAAATTCTAGGTTATAATTATACTTTTACTAGAAGCTGGCGGCTTTTCAACCACTACAGGGGAAGTACTACGTTGGTTGAAAAATTTTATAATCACATCGACTGTGCGCACTACTCCCCGCTTAGACCCAGGTTCGATTCCTGGTTTGACTACCATCCGAAAAGGGAAACACATAATAAGCAGTTAGCGAATTTATCTAGTGCTACAATAAGCGATATGCACAAATTTATAAGCGGTTCAAAGTGGTTTGTTTAAACTACAAACAACAACAACAACCATCAAGAAAAGTATATATATTAATTGAATAGTCACTATTTCTTATTTAAATAAAAGATATTGATAATACATCGTTCAAACAAAAATGTGCATGTATTTTTTCAAAAGTGCATATTTCATTTATGTGCGTAAGTACATATTAACTAATAACAAAATAAAAACAAGTAAGAAAGTCTAAGTTCGGGCGGAGCCGAACATTAAATACCCGGCGCAAGTATTAAATATATGTTTTCCACCTTTCCGAAAGCTACCGCTACATGATAAGCGGGTGTATAAATATTAAGTAAACTAGCATCCTTAAATTTCGAAATATTGAAATTTCAAGCATTTCTGAAATTTACCGTTATATGAAAAGCGGCCGTAATTTTAGTCCGATTTCAATAATTTTCAACGGTTTGCTTTTATGTGGCAAGCACAATAATCATACCGAGTTTGGTACAAATTGCTAGAACTGTTACCGATATACATAAATGTGATCATAAGTGGGCGGTGCCCAAAATTTTATCATAAGCGTATTTCCTGATAAAGAATTGTTGCAACCATCAATTTTGAATAAAGTAGCTTTAATATTTACTGATTTATGGAGGATTTCGTATTTCTCGAAATTACCGCTATATGGGATGTGGGCGTGGTTATTGTCCGATTTTAAAAATTTTCGGCCATTTGGTATGCTGTACCAGGGTCAACAACTGTGCCAAGTTTGGAAGAAATTGGTGCAGCGGTTTCCAAAATATACACATGTAACTATAAGTGGGCGTGGCTACGCCCATTTTTCAAAAATTTTTAATTTTCTTATTTCTCGTCTAAAAGTTATTCTAAATGTCAATTTTGAGTGAATTATCTTCAGTAGTTACTAAAATATCGCAGTTTTCGTATTTCTGAAAATTACCGTTATATGGGAGGTAGGCGTGGTTATTGTCCGATTTCGCCCATTTTCAATACCATCCGTCCTACGCCCAAAAGAAGTGCATGTACGAAGTTTCGTTAAGATATCTCAATTTTTACTCGAGTTATCGTGTGCACAGACGGACAGACGGACAGACGGACGGACGGACGGACGGACAGACAGTCACCGCTTAATCGATTTCTCTTTTCATTCTGATCATTTATGTATACATTTGTCTATATCTATCTCGATTCGTTTTGCCTGTTACAAACAACCGTTATCTGAACAAAGTTATAATACCCTTGTGCACAAGTGCGCTCGGGTATAATAAATATTACATTTAGTGATAGAACTTTTTAGAAAAGTATCGATACTAGTACTCATTTATAATACTCTAAAAAAGAATCGATGCCAGTACTCATATTTGCAAAAAAGTATCGATAATACTCGTACTTCCAAGTATTTTTAGGGCAAACGCGAAAAGTTAACAAAAATCAGATTGCTTTGTTTAAATATACATATGACCTCTTTCTTTTTGTAAATTGAATAGACATTGCTCTTAATAGCTGAAGTCTGATCTAACAAGCATTTCTAACGAAGTTTCGCAATAAGTTTAAAAGCGTAAATAAATGCTTATAGCAAAAGGCTATTTGCCCGCGTGCAAGGATCTCTTAAGCTTCTATACATTTTGTATAGGCGCGAGCAGAGTAAAAGCTCTCTCTGCCCATCGCTGAACTAAAGCCATTGTCTAAAGGAAAGATAAGCTCCATTTCACAAAAATTTTCTTCTAAAGCGGGCTGGATTTTGAATTTAAAACCAAGGTAGAATACATTGGAAAACGAAGGCTCCGTTATGCTGGAGAATTTCCAAGTTATCGAGCCGGAGACTACCCTCCTAATCCATTCCTTACACTGGCACAAAAAAAATTGGTGTGTGCTTTTAACCAGACCCACCTTCCGCCACGTATTTCGACCCACTGAATCCGAATCTGAGGTCAGTTTGACTCGTTTTTGCCATTTTTTCACAATTTTCGCAATTAACTCCAAATTTAGGAGGTGTACGAGTCAAATGGACCTCAATACATGTCGATATGTGGGTCTGGTTAAAAGGAAAGATAACTTTTTTGTGTGAGCCTGTGTTATCGAAGGTATGGCAAGAAATTCGTTTTCCAATTATGTAAGAAGTTTTAACCGAGCCAAATGTCCACATGAGTGCTACCTCTTCTTCTATGTTGTATAAAAATTTCACAGCGATTACCAGTAGCTCACCAGAACAAAATATATGTACATTAATTTTTCGGTTTTTTGAGTTATGACAGTATTGAAGTAAATGAGCGTTATGCCCATGGGATAATTTTTAAACATTTTTATTTTACCTAAACAACAACATTTTACCTTTAAACGTCGATACTTTTTGATATTCGCGATATTTACTCAGTACTTATCGAAAAGTATCGAGTCCTCGATACTACTCAGTACTCATGAAAAGTATCGATATTCTGTACTCGGTACTCGTATCATTCTATCACTAATTACATTTCAGTCCATAAACTACATACATAAAACCATGGATTCATCATGATTCAATAATAAAAGCTTTGCTCAAAAAGCAGTTTCCTCACTCCCTCTTGACAAAATCGTCTCCCTTAGCAAGGCACTGTGTGTGGGTTCGTGTGTGTGTGCAAAGCTTTTGTAAGGGAGCTAAGGGAGTGTCAAAACTCTAATGTCAATAATGAGCAAACCTTTAATTATTGAATCACGTGGATTCATTACATAAGAAACTGGGAAATTGTCGATTGACGGAAGTTTTATTTTTAATTTTTTTCAGTGTCAGTACCTTTTTCATCAATAGTTTTCATGTTTTTATCAGTAACAAAATGCAACCAGAAATCTAAATTTTCGGTCCATGTATTTATTATTATCTATTGTTATAAATTCATCAGAATTGGAATTGGATTCTCCTAGGGTGTCTGATAATTCAAATAACGAACCTAAACCACTGCGCAAACCAAACTAAATGTGTGCATAAATACCACATTTTATGCGGGAAGTGCCCCTTTTCCATTTAGTAGTCCGCCTATAAGGAGTTCGCGTCCGCTCAACGGAGGTTTTTGTTTGATTTGTTATGAAAAGAAATCTTAATGTCCGTTGATAAGAGGTTCGCGTCCGCTCAATAGAGGTTTTTGTGCCAATTTTATGCAAAATAACTGTCCGCGTCCGGTCGAGAGAGTGTCCGCTTAAGAGAGAGTAATTTGTTCCGAAATTTATATTTAAAACTTGGTATAGGAAAAAATGTCCGCCCAAGGGAGATGTCTGTCTAATAGAGGTGTCTGTTAGGAGAGGTTTCACTGTGTTGCCAAAAATCAACAATAAGTCCTAGCAAGTTCAAAGTTGCACTTTATTTTACTAAAATATAATGACCTACAAAACTGCGTATTCATAAAAGTTCGAAAAAATCTGATTAAAAAGTTAAAAATTTTGATGAATAGCAATAATGATGATTGGTCGAATTTTTATAAATTTCTACAAAGTTTTGAAATTTCGATTTACATATTTTTTATATAGGCTATATTTTCATAAAAACATAATAAACATTTTTTTAACAAAGGAAAGTAGCCTAAACTTGCAAAAATTTCGTTTCCCTATATACATTCTCGCCACCGTATGTATATTTTACGAATTTGTTTATAAGTTCAATTGAGATAAGTTGCGTGCAATTATAAATACTTGTACATATGTATGTATTCTTCAAAAGGCCCTTAAGTGATATTATTAGAAAAATACTTTCTTATTATTATTCCATAAATTTACTATATTAAACATACTCACTTAATAAGGTATAAAATGAAGCATTCATTTGTATGTTAAACGATATAAGATTTAGAACCTTTTTAAAAAGATCATTCAAGCACTTTAAAAATTTCAAAAATTTGCGTGCTTCTGTAAAAACCGAAAATATTACTTAAGACCTTTTATAACGATGTCGACGTCGTTCATATATACATTAGGGTACATCACTAATGTTAATAATAATATTTTGGCGCTTACACATTTGCTAAAGATTTGGCCAAGCTTCTCCTCACTGCATACAAATAAATTGGAAAATTCATCGGAATTATACAAATTATTATATTTAAGACTCCCGGCAAGATATTTGGGAATTGTTTTTATAAATAAAATTTGTTTTTAAAAATATTTGTCCGAAAAAATCACCTCAGGTAATAGAAGAGTTTAAGATTAAAAATCAAAATAATGAAATTGTTTAAGGAATTTTCAAATCTCTGCAGCTTACGTAAATCTTACTATTTTTCCGAAATATTTTGGCGGAAGTCTTAATATATAATATTTTTTTTTTTTTAATTCCGATGGAAAACCGCAAATTCGTTTTGTTCAGGCACTCTAATGTATACATATATGTATACTCTTTTCTCCGTATTGCTTGCATATATAAAAGATTCTAAATTTTCCTCGACTCATATCAGTTCTAAAAACTCCGAACGCCAATCAAGTGAAATCAAATAGCGATGTCACACTTTTTTAAGACAGCGATTTTTATTGCGCTTTTGTCAGGCTGCAGCTTTGTATATTCATGTACACTCAATATTGAAGGGCCCTCACCTTTATTTACAAAGGATTTTGGATCTAAAACCATAGCTTTCAGAGCACTCGGAAAAGAATTGTTTTTTGAAAACGGTGAAACTATTCAGGTATACTGTAACAATGGGCTAAGGATACAGAGGTAGGAGTTTCTTTGGTGTAAGTTTTGTGTTTTATTGTTAATTAATTTCTTAAAAATGTTAGAAACTACTACGCAGATATTTTTCCAACTGATCGAAGAGCAGAGTTCACCTGTGAAAGCATGTCTCTTATGTACGAGGGAAATGCTACACCATTTGTAAAAGTTTCCTGCTCACCTGAAGCTGCTTTAAGCTTTTATGAAAGCAACAGGAAACTACCAAAATGTGAATCTTTTATGAGCTATGCACTCGGAGTCAAGCTCCCAGCCATTGGTGATGTCATAAAGGCTGCTATCTGTTATGACCTGGAAAGGCTAACATTGAAATACGTCACCTATATTGCGGACCATAAGAAAATTTCAATATTCAATAAGGTAAGTGAAAGTCGAATTTTTTTAAAATAAACAGTGTACTATTAATTTTATTTCAAAGTTGAATGCTAACAGTGAATTGCTTGTGGATTTGGGTCAAA